TTATGAAGCAGATTTTTTCGTACATTGTCAACCAAATCTTGGTTTTAAATAATCTATTATGTAAAAAAGTAGCCAATGAATATAGCGGATTGCCCACCGATGATACGATAATCCTGAGAGGACAACCGGGCTTGTGAATCTTAGGCAACCCATAGGCTCTCGGCAGTAACCCATCGCTACAATATAAAGCTTTATAATCAGAATCCTTGATATAACCTTTAGTTCTCCATCCAGTGAGCAAAGACCTCAAAGCTATCGTAAGATTTTTTAATCGGATCTTTCTTGATTAAAACATACGTGTCTGAGTCCCCCAATAGTGGTCATTTTGTTCCTATATGCGTCCCTATCCATGGCAACAGTGACGTTACCTTTGTCAGCGTGCGTAAAAACGATGTTGGGATGCTCCGACACAAATGTACGAAAGTCGGACTCTATCTTTAACAATTGTTTGTCCGTAGGTGATGTGAAAATAGGAGAAGATATGATGTTGTTCAAAATTGGAATGGAATGATTAATCACATCAATTCTCCTATCTATAGACATTCTCAATGTGTTACTCCCGACCCCTTTAATACGATTTACAATCGAAGATTAACTTATTTTTATTAACACAGGGTAGCGCAAAATTATCTCCCAACTGTAAGAAGCATTGTATGTTGACAGGAAGATAAAATCACAAACCAACCATCTCTAACAGTAGTTAAAGACGATGACCTCTGTAAAGGGAAAATGTTAGGAAATATGGAAATGACTGACCTAGGAATAAAACTATTATATGAAACAGGAACAGGATTAGCAACATACAAAGCAGAATGTTCCCGTGAGTGCTGACAAAGCTGAAGAGGTTGTCAGACTCGATGTTGAAAAGAACAATTTCCCAGAAGAATCAAAACTGTACTCTATCGGCGCAATCCCCAATAAAGATTGTTTCTCCTTTTTGCTCACTAACCATCGAAATTTCGATTCAAGTCTTTTCTTCTCTTTAGCGAAAAAAAGACAACACGACTTCTCTTGAGTATTAAAGAACTCATCACATATGTAAATCGGAAGACAGACAGAAAGTTCGCTCACTGTATGAAAGAGTAACGACCTATAGTAATCGACCTCCCTATGCGAATCACTCAATTCTAAGCGTAAAATCTTTTTTATCATCATACGTTTCAGATATAAAAATTTGTTGTTCAATCTAACATTACGGAAATTGATACCCCAGTTGTTAATAGTATTTAGATGTTGCGGAATAATATCGTTGTTACATTACCTAATACAATTACCTAATAAATTAAATATGTACATAATTCATAATCTTATGACGGTACTTTATCCATAATTTAAGACATTTAACGGCGTAAAAACCATAGTGTTTGAATATAAATTTGAAAAATGATGGATTAAATCTATACATTGTTACAGCCTGCGTTAAAAATACATAAAGAACAATTCAAGAATCTCTTCATATATAATTTAAATAAATAGCTGTTTAAATTTTTCTGTGTGAAGAGGAATAAATGTGTAAAGAGGAATTCCATTTTTAGATTCTAATGGTATTCTTACTTATTTTATGTTGTTTTGAAATTTTAACTCAAATGTTACCTGCTATATTATATTATATTTATAGCTCACTTGGAAAAATAGATAATAGTTACTCAGATCGTGCTGTTAATTCGAGCTTTCGTAAAATAGTAAAGTGACGTACCTTCCCAACTCACTACAGTTTTCGTCAGGATGAGAGCCGCGTTCCTGTAACAGTCTCTCAAGATTTCGCTCCAAAAGTACCCTATCGAGACCACTGGGTCTGGAACCACTGGAAGGAAGTCCTTCCGCGCCAAACTCAGGGCTCAGAGCATTCTGGGTATTCTGGGTAGGCGTTGTTGCCAAGGATGCGGAAATTTGTTGATGTCTTCTGGTCATTCGAGGCGAGTTCCTAGGAGATCCGAGGGTATGCCTCGAACTTGGAGGAAGCGGAGGTGGAGGCGGTGGAGGTGGACTCGACGAACCCTCGCTCGTGGCTATCGTCTGCCTCCTACCACTCCTAAAAAAATAAAAAAATATTAGCAACATTCCCAGTAAAATCAAATCAACCTACAAATCCTCTTCCATCAAGACTACAGGATGCGTTATTAAAATCTGGACAAATCGAACAATTTCTTTAAACAAAACGTTTTTAATGAACACTTAAATATTACAAATAATCCTTTTACATAGCACTGGGAGGATCCCTATAGAGCACAATTATATCCCCCGATATATTAGCTTGAATGACGACTTCTATTCTCGGTTTGAAGCGTTGATACGCACGCTGTAATGTAGCGCTGTCCATGCCGACGAATGCTACCTCAATAGCGGTCCTTAATGACATCACATTAGGATGTCGAGACTTGTTTGTGACCCTTTCAACGCTCCATACGTAGTAGTTTAAGGGATTTAAATCAGGGCTGTTGGGAGGCCAGAATTCCTTAGACCAAAATATATCGACGTTGTCTGAGATTTTGAATCAAATGACTCGTATGAGCCGGTGCACCGTCCTGCTGAAGAACATATGGCCTTCCGATGCATTGTTGACTAGCTTACACCAACAATCGATATTAATTTTCGCAACGATTGCCCTGGGTCATCCGAAATCAACGCTTGAACCCTTTCAATGACTGCGGGGGTCCTCGTGGTACGTTCTTTCGAATGACTCTTCCTCGCTGGCATACTGGAATCTTCGTTGGACTGTTTTAAAGCCGTATATTTTGCCACAACGTCAAAACGGTTAATCTCGGGTATCCAAAGAACCGAATTATTTCCGTTGCTGACCGCCCAGCGCGAAGGTCTTCGATGATCGCGGCTCTTCGATTATACTCCGCACTTGATTTCAACATCGCGGCCATTTTGAGAATATGACCCTTTACTAGAAGCATCAGTCTTTCTCGAACGCCAACAACCTCTGGTGGAGGCACAATATAACGGAAAATTTAAATTGAAATTTGTCCGGATTTTGATGACGCACCCTGTATATAGACTACCAAAAGTACACAAACCAAATATCCCCCTCAGACCAATTGTCAGCGCCATACACTCCCCGACATACAACTTATCCCGCTTCCTAGCACAAACACTACAAAATCACTGGAAAATCCGAATCACACATAATCAACTCAACGGACTTTATAAAAAAAATCCAAAAAATCCAACTACGTCCCACAGACTTGCTTGTAAGTTTCGACGTAGAATCCCTTTTCACACAAGTTCCAATAAAAGACACATTAAATATAATAAAGTCCTCTCCGACCTCATCCCACTAATAGAGCACTGCTTAACAACCACTTACTTCTCCTATAACAAGCAATTTTATGAACAATTTTCAGGAGCGGCAATGGACTCTCTTATTTCTCCTGTAATCGCCAACATCTTCATGGAGCATTTTGAGAAAGAGGCCCTCAAAAAAACACCTAAGAAACCAAAAATTTGGTTCCGTTATGTAGACGACACATTCGTGATATGGAGACACGGCAGAGCCGAACTCTGTAAATTCCTTATTTCCCTCAACATCAACATCCAAATATCCACTTCACTATAGATATAGAGGAAAACGGAAAACTCCCCTTCCTAGATGTTCTTGTCTCTAAGAAAGCTGACGGTACTTTAGGTCATCAAGTGTACAGAAAACCAACACACACAGATACCTACATGCACCCATCACAAAAACAGTCTGTAATCAACTCACTTGTACATAGAGCTTTCACCATCTCTGACAAAGAACATCTGCAGAGACAGAACTCAACCACTTAAAACTAGTCTTATAGAAAAACGGACACGACAAAAAAGACATAATTAAAACAATCAATAAACATGCAAACAAGACAACGGTCTCTGACACACAACCAGATGAAAAGATTCTATCCATTCTCCCATATGTCAAAGGAACAACAGATCGGATTGGCAGGATATTAAACAAACACAATATCCGAATTATCTTTAAACCACCCAAAAAGATAGGACAAATCTTAAGAAATTCTAAAGATCAAAGACCTCCGCTCAGCTCCGCAGGAGTATACAAAATACCTTGTTCCTGCGGGCAAGTATACATTGGAGAAACCAACCTGATACAGGTCAGTATTAGGCTGCTCTTCGCCCTGATAAAGTGGTACTGCAAGATTCACGAAACGTTGGCATTTCAAGAAATAAATCTGGATACGAGGAAACGCATAACTTTTATATAAAAAGCACCCGTGGAAGCTTCCAGAATATTAAAAAAACATTAGATTTTATCATATAATTTGTTAAAAAAGAGAGAATATATATAAAAAGTCATGATATTTGATATAATTAAAAATATAATTTCGACTTGCTATATGTCATAAAAAAATATCTAATTATAATAACTTATTTCTTTTGATATTTTATCTTTTATATACTTTAATTAATTAAAACACGCTATGTACCAAAGATAAAAATGATTAAAATTTTTATCTCGTCAAACAATTATGTTGCAGAGTATGCGACTAATTACTTCTCATTTTGAATTTAAATTGTATCTACATTTACAGCATGCTAAAAATTTCCGACAATTAGATGCATAATGAAATTTAAATGCGACATTCAGCCCTCCTTGTGCACGCCTCCGAAACGAGGTCGTTATGTATATAAGCCGAATTTAAATTCAACCACGAAAGGCGCCGCTCTATAGGTGTCGCATTAACATGTCTTCAAGCATATGATCCAAGTAGCTCCGATTTCATTAGCGATAATATATACTAACTTGAATATTGTTTTTAAAACATGTATATCGCTCAAATGATAAGCCGAATAAAAAACCTGAATAATTTCCTGTCATCTGTATAATAAAATTAAAATATTTAAACGCAAAACTAAAGATGACTAAATAAAACAATTCGACAATTATTCTTTATTTATCGGTTTCGGTCCTGATCCGGACAGGATGTAAGACTACTTAACTAATGTCGACAAACTTTAATCTCAAAGTTTCAACGATTCTCCCATTTCCAACCAGTCGTTTTCAAAGCGAAACAAGTTATATGGTGAAACCGGGTACATTAGTATAATTTATTGCTGCCGTAATAATTTCTCGGCGTGCAACTCCGTTACTTGCGAACTTGGGAGCGGCGTACAGCTCGTAGGCTCATGCGTAATCGCGGGACGTTACCGGCGGCTATAATTTTTGCGGATCCGTGCGCGAACCCCCGCAGTCGGTGGCAGGACAATGAAAGCAACCCCCGTGACCCTCGCCTCGAGGCGAGGAGGTATGCGAGAGACCGCGCGGAGCATGGAGTATGTACCTGAGGAAGGACAACGGGGGCGGGGGCGGCCCGGCGGAAGAGTCACTTGGTGTCGTCGGCGGTTCCCCTTTGCTGCACGCTATGCTGCAGTAAATGGCACCACGTCGCGGCAAGAACGGCCGGCCCAGGAGAGAAGTGCGGCAAGTGGCGCAGCAGAAGCAAGCCTCGGTCGCGTGCCAGTGCTGACCCTCGTGTGACATTTGGCCCTGGTCGACGCCGATCGGCTCGCCGCAGCTGTCACAGTACTCAGCGAAGGAAGCGTCGAAGCACCTGAGACAGTACGGCCGGCCTTCCCGCATCACATACCGCTGGCCACCGAGCTGTGAACAGAAGAAGATGCACTCCGCGTGAATTTATCTTCTAAGGTGGAACCGGACCAAGTCAAAATGAACGTGAATGAATAAATCTGTTTCAATGAACAGATGGACAATGCGCTGCAGTATAAATAATCCTGAATCTACATCGATGAATATATTGTTATCACTTTTGATACATTAACTCTAGAACACTATTAATGTTGAGTGGTACAATATTATACTATCAATGTATAAATTTTACGCACAAAGAAATAGCTGGCCACTGTTAATGTAACACAAAATTTTCATATATTTCACTTTTAGATTCGTATTCAATGAGTTCTTATTTGTCAATCGCAGGGCAGTATTAGCATCTTAAGTAATGTCTTAAGATACTAATACTGCCCTGTAATTGACTTATAATATCTTAAGATTACTTACATCTAAAGACTATTTAAGACAGTCTTAAATATATTTCAATGATAAAATATCTACACTAAATACCACAAAACAGCGAGTGTCTTAATAGCACAGAAAATCTTTTCCATACACGTTCGACGCTTTGTGAGTAGCGTAAGTGAGTGATAGAACCGTAGCCAAGTAGGGCCTTGAATTTCATGGATTTAAAAATGAAGTGGGGATAACCCCATTTTATTACATTCAGAGCTCCGAACTGCGAGCTATTACATACGTATAATATTCCTGTGTATAATCAAAATCTTTCTAGTACAAATAACCTAATTACAACTTGAAAAGAAAGAAAGAATAAGCACACGATTAAATTCAATCCTGAAATGATATGAAGAATATTTCCTCATAACACTTAAATATATAATAACACAAACTGCAAACAACTTAAAAATCAAAATTACTTATTACGCTCTCTGTTATAACATTGACTATCTGCAGGAGATTCAAACCAATATGTATATAATAGACTAAATTCTTAAAAACTTATCTCCGTTTATCTTAGCTTTTAGTATGAGTGGACCTTTTGATAATCTGAATGCATAATTTATTGAGCATTAAGTTATGCACTGAAAGCATCTCAATAAACTCGTTCACTTGTACGTAAAATATACATATCGATAATATTTTAGAAAAATGTTTGCCATGTTCGTTCGTAAACATTCGTTTATATAATCCGCTCGTCTTTGCTTTTTTGAAATTATCTTGAAAAACGGTGAATTGCTCGTTTAGACGAACGGAAGTCATATATAGAAGATGAGGTTTCAAAAAATGAAAGACTAATACCCATTTCTACTAATGTAGATTAACTTTAATCTTGGTTCAGTTTATTCTTCGTCTTTTTCTAATTCTTAGACTAGAGACAAAAAAATAAAGAGTAAGTTGAACTGAAATTAAAGTTAATTTACATTAATGAAACAGGCACAAATCACATTCTGACACATAGTGATTATGCGCATGCGATTAGACCACAAAGAATAAAATACATTAATTGTTTTTATAAATAAACATGTCGTTTATGTATAGTCTGATTAAAAATATTAAGTACTTTATTAACCATTACTTAACGTTTTAAGTTAAAACATTGATTTATGACTGTGAATTTCTTTATTTTAAGAACTATTTGAGCTTATGTACAGTGTCGATAATTAACAGGGAACAGAATACAGGTAAAAGAATTTCAGATTAATGAAAAACATATAGATGATTAATATATCTGGTCAAAGCTGTACATCATTTTATTTCTTAGATATTGAAAAAGATTTGAGTTTAAACTCAAATCTTGTACGTAAGACGTCCATTTTAAAAGTAAAAGAAGCTCGGGTTGCAAGAAGAGGATATCGTGCAATAAATCACATCGAAAAACGGTAGCGCATTCCTCAACTACAGGAGAACAAAGTTGTCTTATCTCAACGCGGAGAAATAAGCATAGCTTCGGTGATAATGGCACTACGCCAGTGACCGGTTATTCACTGGAGCATGTACTCTACATATATGGCGGCGATCTGATAAAACGTTAGCTTCTTAGAGTTCTCGCTTCTCGCATACGTTCGCGATATAGATACCACGTTATCCCGCACTCTCAACCGGAGAGAATAACTCTTATATCATCACTTAGTAAATTGCGCCGAGTAAATTTAAATAAGAATCTCCTCCGCCCTCTTTTACTTAGAATTTTTCCCAGGTCTTCTCCGCGCGTGATAAATGCATTCACAAGTTCACACCCGAAGCCAAAGACAACCGGTGTGGATAAGGCGGAAAGCAAGTGCTGCTTCTGTGCCTCTTGACGCTATCTAAGTCGGAAGACGTATCTGGGGATAGAGTCAGCTGGCGGGATTATGAATTGCTACGCAGCTGTAAATTCGATAGCGACGTAATCATTAACTTGGCGGCGCGCGTTTCCTATGTACGATCCCGCAAGTACCGTTAGATCGAAACGATTCGCTGCAGCACAGAGAATCGTCTTATGAAAAAAAAAATCTGGTATTCTACATTTATATGTTTATAAACTCGATCCCATCATGCAGCATCCAGTCTTCGTACGGAGAAAATAGTTATGCGCGCCGTTATGTTGCTTGTCCTGCATTCATAACTGAGACACATGGAATATCTTCATTAGTTGCTCGCGCGCGTTTGAAACAAATAAATATATAAATATATTTATTTGTCTAGTAAAATCAAAAACATTTAATCGTTTTTCGAAGATTGCAAAGTTTTATAAAGTATATGTGAAAGAGGCACAAAGTTCTTGTTTTAAGTTTAATCACAGAATGTGTGTGTGTGTGTGTGTGTGTGTGTGTGTGTGTATGCATGTGCTATCGCTATTAAATGATACAGTATTGCTATTTATATGTAAATTTTATATACAAGGAAATAGGCTACTCTCAATTAATTAACTTTTTTATACATTTCATATTTTTAATGAATAAATATTATATTTATAATCTGAACTTTTATAAACGCAAATATATAATTTAGTTATTAACTTAAAACGAAAGAAAGAATAAACGCACTATCAAGTTCAATCTTGAAATGATGTTGGAATGTAAGTCTTAAATAAAATATACAATATAATGACACAAAACAAAATAATAACATAGAACTGCTTGAAAATCGAAATCATTTGTCATGATCTCCGTTATAAATACTGACCATCAGGAGATCTCAATTGATATGTAACAGACAGAATTTTTAAAAGCTTATCTCCGCTTGTCCTAGCTTTTAACATGGCAGGTGGAACCTCGTAATAACCATTGAAGGCATAGCTGAGCACTCAATGACCTCGCTCACTTGTACATAAAATTTATCAATAGCATTCGTTTATTTTTAAATATCACTGAAGATAACCAGAGTAAGAGTTTGATTATATATAATTTTCATATTTCTATGATACTATATTATATTCGCAAAAAAAAAATTCCAATAGCACATTTTTATTCTTACGTTTTCTATTTATATATAGGTTTATTATTATAATTCCTTAACAAAAAAAATTTCTCTTGTTTCAAATGCCGACGTGAAGGAAACTCAACGTAATCGCGAAATAAAAATATTCGTCATTACTGACGTCATAAAAATGATGATTGCAATACTTGTTTCTTTAGAAAACCTTTAATTCATATTTATTCTATATTCTTACCTGCCGGTCGCACTCGAGACAAGCGAAGTGGCGCATATGCCACGCTCTACCCTCGGCTTCGGTGCATTCATCAGCGAGGATGATCTCGTCGCAAGCGCAACAGCGGGGTTTGAGAGTCTCGGCGTGGTGACGGCCGCAGTAGAGCCTGCCGTCCCGCCAGAAGTAGATTAGATCCACTAGCAGCTGACGACACACGCAGCAGACGAAGCAGGCGGGGTGCCAGAGAGCAGCCGGGCCCGCGCGGCTTGCCGCGACGGCCATCTCGCCGGCCGCAATCGCGCGGCCGCACTCGCGGCATCCGGCCCCATGCGGCCGTTCAAGCTGACTCGCGTGCCCGCGACCGAGAGCCTCGCGTTTCCGCTGAGCCGCAAACACCCGCAGCTCGCGCTTCTCCTCCTCGGTCAGGCCGCTGCAGTAACGCGCCTCATTGTCGTGCGGCGGTAGCTGTTGCAGCAATTGCTTCACCCGCTCCCGCTCGCCGGCGCTACCCGCGTACGGGATCTTGTCCTCCGGCAGCGCGCTGAAGTACAGATGCACCTGCGAAAACAGACCGCGCGCGCGTGGATTCAGATTGGAGTCTCGAGTGAGGAGGCGGAGGAAATAGAAACGGATTGTGTGCTCGTAACCGAGCCTCGTATACCGTAAACGTTATAGCTGGGGCGGGTCACGTGCGAACGATAATGCAAGCTTTATCGCGAAAATTGCATGAGGCGACGGCCTATAGTTACTTTACATCGAGCGTGGGACTTTGCCGTATTTGAAGCATACTATTTTCTCTTAACGACTCACGGTGTGCTGATGCATGTGTTTGCGAAGTGGTTGGACGACTTTGTTTCAAAAATAAAATAACATTTTTTAAATTAATTAAAAATATATTAATTTGTCGGGTATAAAAAAAAAACTGTAGCCGTACTAAGGAAATTTTCTGATGGTTGAAAATAAACGAAAAGAATAAACCAAAAGATTCTGATTATAATTCTAATTGAAATAATCAGAATTAAAATTCTATCAGGTGTTTAATCAGAAAATTTTGATTTATCATTTTTAACCAGAATTTCAATTAATGCAACCAGACTCTTTTTCGTGCGGTAATAGGGTTGTTACACAAATTCTTCATTCTAAAATTCCATAATTTTTTCCTGATTTCCAGGCAAACATGATTTTCTCTGACATTCAATAGTATTTTGAATTTTTTTTTGTATTTTCGTCCTAATTTGAATCGGTTAAATATTTTGTTGAGAAATCAATTTAATACAACAATATAAATTACTATTACTACTGCTGACACTGCTTGCATTTTTAATTGTTAATTCTTTGAGAGGCACATTTTTCTTCTAAACAAATTATTGAAATCAGATCATCTATGAATGTTTCCAGGGTCGTTGAATATTCTGATGTCAGAATTACAAAATAAATAATAAATAATAAATAGATTTATAAAAGATCAATTTTCCGAAATTTTTTTCGGAAAAACTAGCAAGCAGAAAATAAAAAAAAAGTATATATTATAGTTTCAGATATGAATAAAAAGAGCTGTAGCACTTCACGTTTAAGAATAGTCGAATTTATTATTAAAAAAAACGAGTTTTTTTACATTAATTGTTTATAACAAAATTGCAAATATTAACGTAATTTTTCATAAAAATTACATAACTTAATAAGAGTCTAAAAGTACTAAAAAGTACTCATATGCGCATACAAACTGCAAAATAAATCAGAAATATGAAAAAACTAAGAACAAAAAGTAAGACGTCTCATTGCCCCTCAAAGGGTTAAATTAGTAGTATTTCAAAATTGTGTAGGTGTGATGTATATACATATATTAAACTTCTTCAAAGTTAAAAGTTTTAATTTTCCAGAAAAATTTGCATGATTCTCTGACTTTTTTCTGATTGTCCTGACGGTTTTTAATTTCCCTGACAATTTCCTGATTTCCAGTTTTGTAATAACTCTGGGTAAAAAAATTGCAGGACTTACTTGTCCATGTAGAAAAATTATTATTAAAGACTGATGATATATATATATATATATATGCGTGCATTACATCGTTAATTAAACTGACAACTGAAACCGTGCAATAAACTCCAACTAATAATTCAGCTGACTTTTTGTCCCTTCATGGTATCGTATCATATATGATATATGTAGACAAGGAGAAGAATTTAGTATCAACTGTAGCTGACATTAACCGATGGTCATTGAGACTCGCTCTGGTCGTCGCAAATTTAGATAAGTATCGGGATGGGCACTGTCAACATATCGAAGAGACGAAAGAAAACACTGACGTACGCGTTTATACTACTGGTATGGAAACCTGCTGCGGTGGAGTCACGACAATAAAAGGAACAGGGAAGGCACGCCGGGATAAAAGTGCACGCGCGGTTTTATTTCGAGTGTATATCCTTACGACGGCATGTCTCTCGTGAAGGGCTCGGTGTCATCGCGGGTATTTCCATAAGAATATCGTCCTGGTGAGTGAAATGGCGCGCGCTCGATAGCCGTTGGAATTTGCGTGTAATCGAGTTTCTACACAATCTAGCGGTAAATTTCTCCGCGTTACGACTCGCGTCCGTTTATGAGTGGCAATTGCATCGTGTCGGCCCCGTGCATGCCATTAAACACTTCGCGCCGCACGCGTGGGTCTTGCGTATGTTCCTTTTGTTTGTGCCAATCGTATCCTTCCCTCGCATATCCCTCGCATAAGAATTATTAGAATGAACTATCGATTAATAATAATAAAATAGTAGAAAAAATAAATATATATATATATATACGGAAAGAAATTTAATCAGATACTGAAAATAATTTTGTTGAATCATTAAAATATTATAATTATATAGAAATCTCAAGTATGATGAGCAATGCTTGCAAAACTCTTTGAAGCAACCAGATTGAGCGTTATAATTATTTTTATAGTCCAATAAAATTATTTTAAAATTTATATCTTGTATCTGTATCTGTATCTATTTATATCAACTGGGTTATAATAAAGAAAAAACTTGCGTGCTCGGATCGCATTAAAATTAATGTTCTACATTGAATGGTTTTCATAGTATGGATATTATTTCAATACCAATTAAAATAAAAAAAGATATAAATCAATATATTCACAGAAATGCGATTAATGTGATTCGAGCACGTCAAGTTTTTTCTTCACAATTTAATTAATTATTTTAATCACTTTTAGTTTGTTTAATTTTTAGAATTAATAGATCTTTTACAGATAAGATTTGTCATTTTTTTTTTTAGTAATAATTTAACTAATTGCATTGATTTTATATCTGTTTCTGTGCAGTTAATTTTTGAATAATTATATTTAAACCGTTAATAAATATATATTTGTAAACCTACGAAATATGAAATTTTCTTTTATCGAAGACTTGGTTGTCGAGATCTAATATTAGTAATATTTTTCAGCTATGAATTAAAATAAAAAAATAAAGAAAGAAATATGCTTTCTCCTTTAAATTCTCGTATTATAATTTGAGAAAATACATTAGAAATATATCGCAAAATTCAACATAAAATTTCCGTAGGCAAAACGTAGATTTCGTAAATATCAAGGGTTCTTCAAGAAAATATGGGTATTTTTTGATTCGCATAAAGATTGCACGTATTGCTTGCTGTCCCTCGTTATTTACGCAAAATCTTCACGAATTGTCGCGCGAATTATTGTGCTTTCGTATACACTCGAGATCTTCGCGCGAAAACGCGAATTGACGGCATCGTCGTGCGGGAGGCGAGAGGGGGGGGGGGAGGGAATAAGCTTAAGAGTGCGAAAAGCTTGTTGCATGGGATTACCGTCCCCCTCGCCGAGAATGCCGAGTCATAATATATAATGCGCGTTAGACGTAATGACACTTAAAATGAGTAAAGAAAACGCGCGGACGGACGCCGCTAGGACGAGGAGCGAAAGCGGGAAATAAAAGCGGGATGGAGGAGGCGGAGGAAACGAAGAGGAGAAGAAGTAGAGGAGGAGGAGACAGAGAGAAGCGGATTTGCACGTACCGCATCGCGAAGTCGCGAAATAAACGACGATGTTGGCGTGCGGCACGCAAAAGCCAACACGCATCGCCGAGAGGGAGAAAGAGGACTTTATTCCGCGCCGACGCGAAACTCTCGCGCTTAAACCAATTAATGGACGGCGAGTGCGTTAGTTAGCTCCTTCGGCGAGAAGAAATCGAACATGGAATTATTTCAATTGTACGCTATTGAGCGTTTAATTAAATAAAATGATTTCGTTTTGGTACATTCCGCAATATATTTCGGTATACGAGATGGTACTTTAGATACGTTAGAGAGGAATCAGAGAAAAAAAAAGAATGATGATAGCCTTTCGATACATTCTACAGGCTGAGTTTCAAAATGCACTGCCACCGTTGAAAATCTATACTTTATATTACATAATTTGTGCGAGGTACACTACAAACTTTGGGTAGTGGCACTAGATTTTGAATCGTAACAATAATAATTAAAGGGCTTGCTGTAATAATGAGCTAATCCACATTTAAAAAAAACGGAATAGATAAATTCTAAAGTTAAAGAGTGATGAGAAAAATGTCAATATCACATGTTTTAACTTTAGAATTCATTTAATCCGTTTTTGCAAAATGCAAAGTTAACCTGCTATTGTAGCGACAAAGTTCAAAATTACAAATTTATTATAATAATTTAACAATAGAGAAGTAGAAATTTTATTTATTCTTACTGCGTTATGCGGCAGCACAATTTGAAGATGTTCTTTTTTTGAGAATGGAATCTCTCAAAAGGAGAGATCGAAGGGTACAACTTGTATGGTTAGTACATTTTGTATTTTCTGCATTCTCTCCTTTCATACCCTTTTTCGGGTGAACCCCTCGATTACGCTTTATCATCGTTATATCCAGCGAGAGCTTTCACCGGCGCGGTCTGATGACTCACTGCGCCGTCGTCGTTCACGATGGTAATCGTCCCGGCGATCTGGAGGCCCGCTGTCGCGGTCAGTGGTACCCGAGGAGACGAATCGCTGGAGACACCCTCGCATTACACGCATACGCGACAGCTGAGAAATCGTTCTCACCTCTTTTTTCCTCTCATATTTCAACAGTGAATTAATTAATCTCTATTATTACATAAAGCACCTATAAAGTCGCATAAAAAATTATATCTGCTTATCTAGTTTACTTATTGTCAGCCTCATTATTTTAATCCTCGATCTTTTTTAAAGTACTGTTATTACACGTACAAATTCGTTGGTATTTATGTTTTATGCCTTTTCAAACTACAATGTTGTACCTATATGATTTTATTATATCAAGATAAAAAATAAAGCTGATTTATTATATAAATAATAATAAATAAACGGCGAAGTAAGAGTCAACACATTCTTTAAAAAGTCACACAATTAAAAGAATAAATTACAAATAGAGAAAAGTAAAATTAAAGAAAATATATAATAAAAAATAAAAAATAATAAAAAGAACTCAGTTTAAATACATATAAATAATTACAAGTTTCGGATTGAGCCCTCTTCAGACATTAACTTGTCGAAAAAATCGCAGTACAAAATTTAATTATCGCAAATGTTCGCATATTCATTATATTCACAATTT